TTATACATTGTAGGTATAAATTAGTACAACCACTCTGGAAAGCAGTATTGAGATCCCTCAAAAGACTAGGAATGGAAGCACCACATGACCCAGATATCCCACTTCTTGCTATTTATCCAAAAGATCTAAAATCAGCATACTGTAGTGATACATGAACACCAATGTTTACCGCAGTGTAATTCACAATATCCAATTATGGAACCATCCCTGGGGCCTATCAACAGATGATGAATAAAGAAAATGTGGTATATACACAACAAAGTTTTTTCAGCCATAAAGAAGAATGAAATTATGTCATTTGTTGGTAAATGGATGGAATTAGAGATCATCATGCTAAGTGAAATAAGCTAGACTCAGAAGTCAAGGACTGAATTTTTTTTCCCAATATGTGGAAGCAAGATAGAGACTGATTGATTGAAAGAATGTAAAGGGGGGAATCTCACAAAAATAGGAAGACCAATAGAGTTGAGGAAGGGGTTCCAGAGAAAGGAAGTATAGGAAAGCATGGGGAAGTGCTGGGACATAAAACATACCAAATTATTCTAAACCTATGAACAAATATAATAGAATGAATCACAGTATGTGTAACTTTGTATATAAGATGTCCCCCCAAATCTCCTGTGCTAATGCAAGAATGTTCAGAGGTGAAATGATGAGATTATGAGAGTTGTGATCTGATCAGTGGATTAATCCATTTGATGGACTAATAATTTAAATGGTGTTTTAGTCAGCTATTTTAGTGTTATGACTAAAGGATCTGACAGAATAATTTTAAAAGAGGAAAAGTTTATTTCAGGGCTCATTGTTTCAGAGGTCTTAGTCCATAAAAGGCTGGGTCCATTCCTCAGGGTTCCAGGTAAAGAAGGATATCACGGCAGAAGAGTGTGGCAAAGGGAAACAGCTCACATGTTGATCAGGAAGCAGAGAGACTCCACTGCCAGATACAAATATATACCCCAAACCATGCTCCAATGCCCACCTCCTCCAGCCTCACCCTACCACTTCAATTACCACTCAGTTAATCCCTATCAGGGGATGAATTCACTGATTGGGTTAAAACACTCATAACCCAATCATTTGTCCTCTGAACCTTCTTGCACTGTCTCACACGTGAGCTTTGGGGGGGGGCACTTCACATGAAAACCATAAAAAATTCAGTAACTGGGTGACAACTGTATGCTGGTGGGATGTGGCTAGAGGAAGTGGGTCACTAAAGGCATGCTTTGGGGGTTATATACTTTGTCTTAGCCTCTTCCCATTGCCTTTCTACTTCCTGGCTGCCATGTGCTGAGCAGCCTTCCTCCACCATGCCTTTTGGACATGGTGTTCTGCCTCATGTGGGACCCAGAGTAATGGGGTTCGCCTACGATGGACTGATAACTGTGAACCCAAATAAAAGTTTGTCTACTCTAAGTTGTTCTTGTTGGTATTTTGATGATAAAGAGAAAAACCTAATACAATGTATATTATTATAATGCACTAATTAAATAATAATAATAATAATAGATGGGCAATCAGTAGAGTAGAACAAGTGGATTGGGGGAAGAAGGTGGGGAAGGAAAGGAAGGCAATGGGGAATGAGATAGACCAAATTATCTTATATACATGTACAAATATGACATAATGAATCCCACTATTAGGTCTAATTATGCACCATTAAAAACAAGATATTAATGAAGGGAAATGAAAATAATGTAGTATGTCATCTCATTCCTCAAATTCCTTCCATGATATCTGTCTATGGTCATATAATAATCTTTGATCAGCTTCAGATTTGGCTCATTCAACATATGGTAAATATAAAGCTTTACTTGAAAAGCAGTCATCACTGTCACACTGAAGGGTCAAAGCAGCCTCGATTTTTTCAGAACAGTCTGACTTTATTTTTCAAAATAAATAATAATATTAATATGCATTTCAAAGGATATTTTAAAAACCATTAAAAATTTTAGAATACTTTTTAATGTAGGTATTACTAAATCATTAAAATTGAAATGCTATAGAGTTAATATTGTGAATTCATTCATTTTCTCATAAATTGCAAAACAAAGTAATAATGTTGTATGTCCTAATTTATAATAAAGCAATGATTTGTTACTGAAATTTCATATTATTAAAGAAAGTATTATAATGAAAATCATGGTATGTATCCTTGCAGACATTCAACTCTGGTGTTGGTCTTTGGGGTGTAAATATTAAAGAATCAGTTAAACGGAAGAAACAAAACTATTAATTTTATTAGGTAGTATGATAAAAACTTTTCCTATATCATTAATGAAAGAAATATATACAGTTAAAAATTAAGTATTCTGATGGCTATAATTTTTTTTTTATGGTGCTGGGGATTGAACCAAGGGCTTTGTGCATGCTAGGCAAGCACTACTAACTGAGCTATATCCCCAGCCCCTATCATTTTTTTTATTAAAAATAAAATATAAAACATTTTTATGGTGAAATAAGGTCATTGTAATTGGAATAATATTTAATGATTTAATATACTAAAAGTAGATATATTAAGTACCTGATTGTATAAAGTACATTGTATCTGAAAAATGTAAACCTTTTAACTGTGAATTCTAGCTACCATATCTTGATTATTTAAAAGTATCAGAAAATATCCTAGATATCCTGAAAATAATGGGAATCCTAACCAAATTCAGTTGTTCCTCTGTGCCTTTTATCCTCAGTTATTGACATGTGCTAGCCATGGAGTTGTGTGTCAGTGGTATAGCTCTCCCCTGGTACATGCCAGTCCTTGGGTTTCATACTCAGCATGACATAAAAATAGATAAATAAAATGAAGGTATTGTGTCAAAATACAACTAAAAAATAAATATTTAAAAAATAACTGGAGGGCTGGGGATGTGGCTCAAGCGGTAGCGCGCTCACCTGGCATGCGTGCGGCCCGGGTTCGATCCTCAGCACCACATACCAACAAAGGTGTTGTGTCTGCCGAGAACTAAAAAGTAAATATTAAAAATTCTCTCTATCTCTCTCCTCTCTCACTCTCTCTAAAAACAAATAAATAAATAAAAAATAACTGGAAAAAGTCATGTGGAAAAAGACAGGTGTCTCTTCCTCAGGAGAAAAAAATCAATGATATCATGTGACAGTAGATACCAAATCATTCCTATTGTTCTATTTTTTAATATATCTGAATTTATAAAATTTCATCACAGGATAAAATATTGTTATTTTTGAACAATGGTTTACTCCCAACAGAAATACTATTTGAGTAAGAATGGAAATGTCTAGTTCTATGTAAGTTCTTGGTTTAATTTGATTAATCATTGAAGGAGTTTCCTCTAAAATAGTAATTGCACTTACCTGGTTGTTTGCCAGCTATGTTAGTTTTTAGATCCTAGGCCTATGTACTTCAGTATATGTGGATAAAAATCTGAGGTTGAGTAAGGGGTATGTTTTTGTTTTTTCTTTCCTTTTCTTTTTCATTACTTGGGATGGAAACCAGGGGCACTTTATCACTGAGTTACCTCCCCAATCCTTTTTAAAAATTATTTGAGACAGGTTCTCTGTAAGTTGCTGATGTTGGTTTTAAACTTTCCATCCTCCTGCCTCAGTCTCCTGAGTCACTGGGATTACAGGGTTTGTCACTGAACAGGGTGGATATGCTTTTGTTTTGGCTAGTTGAAGAATGGTAATTGTGACCATAGCCAAGGTGTCTGTATGAGGCAGTTGCCAGGTTTCAAGCATTTAGTGTCTAGGAAAGTCTGACACAAATATAACTGTATAGGAAAGTAAAATTAGCACTGTTCCACATAAGTCTTGGAACATGTTTTCACACAACAGAATTTTAAGAAGTGTGTGTGTGTGTGTGTGTGTGTGTGTGTGTGTATTGGTGTTGGGAACAGAACTCAAGATTTTGTATATGGTAGGAAAGTGCTCCACCATTTGAGCTGCACCCCAGCCCCTGAACCCCAATTTTGAAAATTCCTGACTTGGATTAGGGTGATAGTGAAGAATATGGGGAGAAGTAAGCATATCTGAAAGATATTTGGAAGGTAAAATCAATGGAACTTTGTGTTGGATTGGACAGTGTTTGGGGCATTTAGAGAGGACTCCTATATTTCATAATGGCTTTGGTCAATGTGGCCAGTCCATAGACCCAGAGCTGAGTTAGGATCTGTGGACATGAGGCCTGAGAAATTTAGGATTTGCTCCCCGTTGGGAAAACATATAACGGCAGCCACACCCCCAAAAACCCCAACAAGGCGCCTGATGGGCTTCTCTTCCTGCCTCTCCCTTTCCCGCTGGCGCCAATATTGAAACCCCACTGGCAGGAAACCTTAGCCCCAATAAGAACTAGCTTCTTGGGCTCCGGAACTGACATGTGGAAGAGCTTGCCAATAAATGGGCACCCTGTTATCTACCTCAGCCCTGCGACCTCTCCTTAGACCTATATAAACCCACAGCCTTTGGTAATAAAGTGGAACCTCTCCGGTGATCTGTGTCCTGTGGTGTCTCCCATTCGTAGTGTGGTGCAGCGTCTTACACTCCCACTAGAAGGTTCCCTGCTGGTAGAGTCCACCTCTCCTCTTGCCTAGGGTTAGGGATTCCCCCAGTCTGGTAACTTGCCCCACATGTTTGTAACTCCCAAACTCCCTGAAGGCAGCCTGTGTGCCATTCTGGGTTGCCTGACCTGATCAGCGGTTGGCCCAACGAAGGTACTCAACTCAAAACTGTAGCAGGAATTAACTCCTTAATCTTCACAGTGTCCCCTGCCGTCTGTGAGAACACCACAGAGGGGTGCCAGTGGTGTGAGCCTGTGCCCACCACACAGAGCATAGTTTGGCAGTGCCACGCGGGCGTCGTCCCTAGGACTCTTCTTCCTTGAAGTTCCCGCCGCTGAGCCTGCAGAGGGGCAGCGGCCAAATAGATCTGGTCTGTGCCTGGGCGGCAGACTACGACTCCCAGGACCCTCTGGGAGAACTCGGGTGCACCCGTGTATGCTTGGGGGTTACAGAGGGGAACCATTCCTTTGTAAGGTGTGCTGCGGCTGAGCCGTTGCTTGTTTCTTCCGCTGCGGGCTAGGAGGCGGCCACCCCAGAAACACGGCTTCAGGTCCTGGAGGAACCACAGAGGCTGCTGCAGCGACATTAACAGTAGTGGTAGTCCCAGCTGCGACTAGGGCATAGAGCGCATGCGCTAATATGAGAGCCACCTGTGACTGGTGGAGGCCCGGAGGTTGGCGGGCTGCTGGGTGGTTGTGACAGGTGACTTGTACGGCTGCGTTGCCATAGTGACCACCATGCTTTGGCATGTGTGACAGCTGAAGTAGGAGATCAGCATGGCTGGACGGGCTGACTACATTCCCCACGAGAGTGGACTGTGCCCTCCGTTCCCATGGAGGATTCTAAATGCTCAAATCCTAAAGGGCTCTGAGCAGGGGCTCTAGCAGACCAAGGGCTTGGTACACAGGTCTTTCTTCAAATAGAAAAAAAAAAAAAGGAGACTATGGAAGAACCAACCGGGATGGCAGAATGGAGAGGTAGGACTCTGGCTGTGGTGGACTGGGGAGGAATCAGCCCCTTCCTTCCCCAAACTCAGTGAGGGGAGACCAATGCTGCAGCATAGGTGAGTCGAAGGAAGTAGGCAGTCCCAGGCTGAAGGATTGCACCTAAGAAGTCCTCTGATGCCTTAATCATATCAGGTTATCGTGCAGTGGTGTGCCAGACAGCGACCCTCAGGGTCTGTACTGTTCAACAGAAATATAACGTGAGTCACATATATTCTTTTTAAATCTTCTAGTAGCCTTACTAAGAAGACACGTAAAGCAGGCAGTAGTACTGTTTTACAGGTGACAAGCACCCAAGCAGTGTGCACATTGTCAATTTACATGCATGCATCCTTGCTGCAGGTCATGATTTCTTCCTTTTCCTTCAGTGTTTCCTTCCCAGGACTCTGCTGTTTCCCACAAAGATGACCCAGAAGAAGAGGGCAATGCTGATGAGCTCCTGACAGCCTGTCTAGAGGTAAGCTGTGACTTCTTTCCTCCCAAAAGGTTCCCTTAACTCTTGGAGAAGTAATGTACACATTCTCCTATCCTGCTGTGGAGTATCTGTGCTGAACCCATTTCTCTCCAGTAATTTGAACCTTTCTTTTTTTTTTTTTAATGTCATGCTTTTTTTTTTAATATTTATTTTTTAGTTTTCGGCAGACACAACATCTTTGTTTGTATGTGGTGCTGAGGATCGAACCCGGGCCGCACGCATGCCAGGCGAGCGCGCTACCGCTGGAGCCACATCCCCAGCCCTAGAAATAAACCTTTTCAGTGGAAAAACATTTGTGGGTCCAGCCCGTGGCCTCATTTGTCAGCAGAAGGCATTGCTTTCCTGGATGATTGAATTCCGGATGCTTCACCTATTGCTTACTTTGTCATTTTAAACATGAGTTTAGATGTTCCCATGTATGTTTCCAATATAAGGAACTAAATGGACCTGAAAATAGTATCTATGCTGGAAGCAGAAACATTTTGGGGGACGGGAATGTGGAGAGGCAGTGAGCACGCATTGTACACGTGTGAACATGCGACCCAGGCATCTTGCATCTCTAACATCAAGGGATCTGAGTGTGCATGTGGCGGTGTGTGCATGTGCCCCAGCGGCTGCATGTTGGGGTGCGGTCCGGCTTCAGCAGGGTGCACAGTCATGCTTGCCGTGTGGGCTGGGCCGGCAGGTCAGTTGAGGAGAGACAGAAGGTCTGGAGTCCCCTGTTATTCCTTGTCCCTCTTATCCTGTGTCCTCAGGTGCTCCAAGGTCTCCTACTCTGAGTTTGCTTAATCAGGGGTCCCCCAACCTGTGCAATCAGACACCCTCACCCAGGAGAGGTTTCGAAGCGGTTACTCCAAAGAAGGTCTAGCTCTTCCTCCTTAGATGTTTCTTGTTACGTCTACCCTAAGTGCTGCTCCCTGATTCCGAATCTGGGACTCTGCCAGCCCTCTTGTACATCAGTCAGTCATCAGTCCTAATCAAGACCTCTCTATCTCCCTCCATATCTACCCAAAGATGCGCACATGTGCCTTTACTTTAGCAACACCTTTTTGCATGAGAAAACATATAATTTTGCTTTTGTGGGGTTTTTGGAAGTGAAAGGTTTTGTGATGTACTTGTGAAAACTGGGTGGCCCTCGAAGAGGCATGATACTCGCCCTCCAGTAGCCTGGACTTATTAAAAGGACTGTCCTTGTGAACCATAAAGACATATGAGAATACAGCAGTATTGGTCCATACTGGTGAAATCTGGAAGGAGAGGAAAGAGGATGTGTATTGAAGAAGAGACAAATAATAAAGTGTGAGGAAAATGGATTCTAGGACCCAGACGTATGTTTGGTCACATTACCTCCAGGATAACAAATAGTACAAAACACCACATAAGTGTTACAGAGAGGTCACATCCGTGGACTACTTCACACACTACATGCAACATGTTTTAAAAGGAGCTATGTAGAATTTGCCAGAGCATGAAATCTTACAGAGGCACGTGAAGACTCAATTACAAAGACTCAGGAACAGAAATGAACACAGCCTTTTTGGGGACTAATGAGAGACAGGCTGGAGGTTCAGACTTCATGCATAGAGTGAAGCCAGTGGGTGTCTACACTCTTTAATTTTTTTGTATTATAATAAAATATACATACTAAGATTTACTATCTTAACCATTTTAAGTGTGTAGTCCAGTGGCATTAGGCATATTCACATTGTTATGCAACTGTCACCACCATCTGTCTCTAGATCTTTTTTAAACTTCCCCAACTTAAACTCTCCCATCTTTATATTGTCTGTCTCTATGAATTGGACTACTCTGGGTTCTCCTGTAAGTGGAATCCTCTATTGTGTCTAGCTTCTTCCACTGAATATAATATCCTCCACGGTGAGGTTGACACTCTTGGCTCTTAGCTTCACTGAAACTTATTGTAGACACTGAGAAACAGGATGTCAATCCCCATGTTACTTAAGTGAGAAACTATTAGTGAGCCTTACGAAACCCTCCAAAAGTCCATCATTCTACAGAGTAGAAAGATCTTAAAGATCTAACATGCTAAACCATGCTGATGAGTAAAAAAGAAAAGAAGCCCCCACTTTCCCCCTGCCAGTTAGCTCATGGATTGCTGGAGGATTCCCTTCCTATGGCCCACTAATAAGGTTCAACCTAGTCAAACGTGTACAAGAGACTCCCAGGAAATAGTTGGTGGCTCTTTGGTATCAGCTAGTTCTTTTTATTGGATTTAAGGAAACTCAGGCAGAAGAGAGTTTACACTTTTACTGCTGTATTCAGCAAAATAAAAGTGTTTAGTTCCAGTGATTTAAAGTCACCTTTCAGCTAAGAAATTCAGATCAATTTTCAAAGTAGTATGCTTTAAAATAATTTATTGCATATAAGATCAACAGATCAAATAACATCAGTGGAACTCTTTTCAAAACCAGGTAAATGGATATAATAGAAAATAAATAGAAATTATAGAAAGATAGAATAGAAAATAAATGAGTAAGATTTCAGGTTTTCTTTATATTGATTGCTTGTATAGGAGGTATGAATTAATACAAGATTTTAAGAGTCTTTGAGATTTAAATAAAACTAGCTTTACCATTTGTTAAACAATACCATATATACTCCAAGACACTGAATTTAAACTGTGATGCTGAGACACAGTTTAAGCAATCAGATCTTTCAAATATATTAGAAAAAAATGGGGTTCTGTGGCATTTTATGGACTAGCCAGAGTATACATCACTTTAGTTTGTATTACCCCCATTATATAAAATTGTTCCCCATCACATTTAGAATACCATCTGAAAATTTAGCTGTGCAGCAGAAACATGTTGTTACCAGTATCAACTTTATATCACCAGCTTTATTCCCCCCACACTGTGACTTTTCTTTATTAACTTTTGTGGGCACAGGGACCAAAAACTGCTCTGTCTGTGGGTTACAGAGCTTGCTGATCTCTGGCCTGCTCATCTGTCCTGTGGCTGTGTAGAAATGCCTGGGATTCTAGAGTCAGCCTGTGTCAAAGACAGCTCTTGTAGAATCTCTCAGAGGCTCTAGCGTCTTATATGTATTCTCAGACACCAGCCACACAGGCAGCAGTTTGAGGTACCAAGTATAGTCAGATTGTATCTCGCCTACTTTGCTATCATTTGGTACATTACTGCTTGTGGTATTTTTCAATAATAAAAAGATGTGCTAAACCAACATTAACAAGTTGTTGGAGAAAAGGAAATTGTTCGTATCTCTATTACTCAACACAACTGATTTCAAATTTATGTATTTCCTTGTGGTCTTCATTCATTTGCTTATCCATTCTTGTCATCAGACTCTCCTTTTTCATATAATTTTAAGAGTCTGTATGTTTCTTAAATACCTGAGGAGACAGTGAAGGTACTTTTAGAACCGGGTGGTAATTGCCTTTGAACTTGAATGGTTTTAAAGGTAAGGACAGTAGCATTGGAAACATAAAAGAGCATAATAAATAAAAGAGCATTGGAAAAGACAACTTTCCTGGAGTATGGGATCTATGGGGCCACAGGTAGGAGAAGGTGAGGCCAGATAAGTAACTTTGATCTACACTGGGAAATATCTACAGTGCCACTTAAAGGAACTTGACTTCATCATAGGAGTATATGAAGAGGAATTTAAACAGAAGCTTACTATGTCTAGATTTGCATTACAGAATAGCTATGCTGGTAGCAGCATAGACAGTGGAACAGTAGAGTGTGAAGTTTAAGGTGCCAGGAAGACCAGTTATGAGATAGTTGCAATGATCCAGCAGAAAACTCCATGAGGGCCATCACAGTGGAGATATCTACACACACACACACACACACACACACACACACACACACACACACGTGGAATTGAAGGGTCTTGAACCCCTGCCCTAAGAAATTCTTTTTTCATAGGCCAAGGACTAGAAGCAACACACTTCATTCCAGTTATAGCCCAGTAGCTGGAATGAATCACATGATTCCACCTAACTGCATAGGGGTCATGGATGAAGGAAGGATCAGGAAATGTCAAGGAAGAAATAGAATATGTGGTTAGCAGTATTACAGGGATGTTTTGCTAGAGGGACTTGGGCAACTTGTTTCATATGTAGCTTAAAAAATCTTCTAGGGATTGCTTTGCT